ACATCATGAAAGATCTTACCAGTTTTGATTTACGCCATGCTGAAGGATTTCCGTCTTCCTCATGTTTGGCGACTGCATTAACAGAAACACAAATGTGTTCAAAGTAGTGTATTTAACAACATCGTTGCTGCTGCATCTTAGTAAAGAGCAATATATTTATACAGATTAATCCATTGTGTCACTAACCAGTTGTTCTACATTTTTTGCAGGCGCAGAGCACAGCTCCAATCAGTGCAGCAGCGGCAGCACAGATCAACACAATGCCATATAAAGGTAAAACCTCATCTGTAATGGAAAAGAATAAGCCATTACTGGATGTAATGTAACTTTACAAATCAGCCTAGAATATTAATAGTAGCATACCTGGACATGTCTGACAGTGTGTGATGTCCAGTTGTGTGGTCTGGTTGCTGATGGTGTTGTTGATCACACAGCTGTAGGTGTTGTTATCCTGATATTCCACCTCCAGAGGTAGAGAGAGACTGATGCTGAGATCAGACACACTGATGCTGGACAATACATAATTTCCTTTGTACCAGGAGAGACTCACAGCACTCACATTCACCACTGAACACAACACTGAACACTCTGAGAAAGATGCTGAACAGTCTCTGTCAATGGCAGGAGGAGACAGACGAGCTGAAAAACATCAGAAAATAAACAGATACGCTATGTTAGAGTTTTACTAAATAACCAAGGCACTAAAGTCCTGTTTTGTGACTTAGAGAACAGCAATTACTGTATGAGATAGAAAGATTACAACAAAAATGTCGAAATGTTACAGCAGTAAAAGGTCAGAAGTGAAAGACATTTTGTCTTTATTTTGTGGTATACACAAATGTCCAGCAGAGGTCGCTCTTGTTTAGGTGGTCACAGAATATAGGCACAGTTTTTCTGTGCTGACTTGAGTTGGGATTCACTGCTGTGTATTGACTGCTTGCCTGTGGACCCTTTTTACAAGACTCTTGACATATTTAATGGTCATAAGCATCTTAAATCCTTAAGAGTTTTTAATATTCAGATTTTAAAAAACCTTATTAACATTTCTATGTATTCATCATGTATGAGTTATAGTCAAATTACAAAATAACAAATTACTGCTTGTGTGAGGCGCTTGTAATGCAGAGTGTATGGAGGCGGGAAAGCAAATTTGACGTTGTTAGTCTTTCTCTATCAGTCTTACCGCTATCAGTCTTACTCTATTGTTTTCCTTTTTCTAAAAGTCTTGATAACACCATAGTGAAGTTGTCTTTTACAATTTGAGCAAACAGGATTATAAATAAATGTATATATTTGCTTGACTCTCCCATTCACTGTGCACCAAGTTTACCCAACTATAAAGACTTTCGCTACTGAGAAACCCAGAAATGAGAATAGGGTCCATTTTGAGAACAAAGAACTTTTATTCATTCATTTTCCTTCGGTTTAGTCCCTTGATTCATCAGGGGTCGCCACAGTGGAATGATTTAGCCACTAAACTGACAAAACGTACAATAGTTACGTTTCCTCGTGAGATCAGGCTGGTATATTAGGATATAGAATCACACGCAGAGTGCTTTCATGCCTGCTTCATTTAGTCAGTGGTGAAAAGAGTACTGAAAATCATACTTGAGTAAAAGTACTATTACGTGTCTAAAAATGTTGTGTAAGTAGAGTAAAAGAATCTGTTGTAAATATTACTCAAAGTATGCGTAAAAATAGACCTTTCAACAGTACGCAAGAGTAGTGAGTATTACGCTGTAAAAAGCTGATGCATTTACATGTCATTTGTGGATGTGTGTAAACGTAACGTTCTGTAGTGCATTTAGTCATTGCCCAGCAGGCACACAATGTCATAAGACGCTAATATTAGGTTAGATTTGGGTTGTGATGTCAGGTGACTAAAATTCAATGTCTAGCCAAGATCTAAGGACAATGTTATTTTGATGTCCATTAATGACATCTAATGATGTAGATATTTGGTTGATTTTAGGTTGTGTTGACCAAAATTCAATGTCGAGCCAATATCATATTGATGTCAAATACTGACCAAACCAAACCAAAATCCAACATCTGATAGACGTCATAGTGGTGTCTTCCACACAACGTCAAGCTGTAACATCATTAGGTGTTGATTTTAGTTTGGACATTGATGTTGGCTTCACGTTGAAAACTGATGTCAACCCGATATTCATTTCCAAACAAAATGCAACGTCCCCACGAGGTTTGGGTACAATATCAATCTGACGTCATGTTGAGGTCTTGTGCCTGCTGGGTGTTTAAGACCATTTCGGTCATCATACAGTAAATATCCGTCATCTTCTCATCAGTGACATGCGTCTAAACAATCTCTGGGTCAATGTGTGTAAAGACATCTTCTTGGACACTTTTAATGCTTCCAAACAGCTTGCTACAATTATAAATCGCCCATGTCTTGAGGGAGTTCAGCATGATGCGATTTACCTTCTATGTGTGATTTGGACAGGAATCAGAAGACTGATTTTTCTAATCCCCATAGACAGGAAAAAATAAAGTAGTGATCCATGTTGAAGGAAAGTAGTGGAGTAAAAGTACTGATACAGCACTAAAAATGTACTCAAGGGAAAGTATAAGTACACACTTTTAAAACTACTTAGTAAATTACAATTCCTGGGAAAAACTACTCAATAACAGAAATCCGAGTATTTGTTAGTTACTTGACACAAGTTTGACCATAAAACAAAACAAAAAACTACTCACCGTAAACTGAAACCTTGAATGTTTTCGTTGTCAGTTTCGATCCACTGATCTTCACTTCATAATCTCCAGCATGTTCAGTTGTGATGTTCGTGATGGTCAGAGATCCAGTGTTGCTGTCCAGCATCAGTCTGTCTCTGAATCTCCTGTCCGGACCATCGTATGTGGAGAAGATTTTAGCCTCGCCGCTGATTTCAGCAATCAGAGAGTGTCCATCTCCAAAGCTCCACTGTACATCATCATCATCGTGTATTTCGGTAACACCAGTGCTTAGAGTCACAGAACGGTCCTCTAATACTGAAACCGACTTAACAAACACACCTGGGGCCTGTTTCAGAAAGGAGGTTAAGTGAAAACTCAGAGTATTTTAACCCCGAAATGAGAGAAACTCTGAGTTTTCCGTTTCAAAATGGCAGGTTTGTTCAACTCAAGAAAGCAGGGTAAGTCAAGCCTGTTTCTGAAAGAAAGGTAACTTTAACTCGAGAGTCAGTTACTGTGGTAACTTACTCTGTGAATCTAACCTGGTCCGGAGCAGGTTTTATTCTCTAAACTCTGAGTTTCTGTCGGTCTCCTCCCCCTTTTTAAAGATGAAGCGGTATTTCTCGCCTTAGCCTTACGTCTCCACACCTATTTTAGAGCTCATTTTGGAGATGTGCATAAAAACGATTGATGGAAACGTCATGATTCACATAACTTTTGAAAATACGCATAATAAAACATGTGCATAACTGAGTAGGTTAAACTTTTATCTGATAAAAAAGATGCACATAAACTACGAAGTGCACTTAACAAATTACAGTATGTACATTAAAAAAAGGTTTGTTAGAGATGATGATGAAAATGTGTGTGAATGGACAAACCAGCAGACTGAGCACACTGCATAACATCTTAAATGTTGTTTTAGTCATTCTAAAATGCCTTTACTGTTTCAGTATTAGTGTATATTATTAATTACCTCCGAGCGTCTGGAGCGCGTCAAGATCTCCGCGTCTGGCTTCAAACGCCCCCACGTGTTCATTGTGTGTCAATTGTCTTCTGAGGCGCAAGTACATTAATTAAATGAAAAATCATTGACGCAGCTTATTCTACCGCAGTAAATTCTGTTTTTACTGTTGATATTTGGCGCAAGTTAATCAGGAAGTGACGATTGTGTTCACTTCGACTCTTTGGATAAAAACGCTGCTTTATTTTTAGGCGTTATTGCAGTTTTGCACAAATATATAATAGCCTATATTTTGATGGAACAAAACACAGCTATTGCCTACATTTTTGTCAAACACAGAACAAAGTCACGTACGAGGCTTGTCCTTTTTTTCCATAAATAATTAGCTTAACTTTCGACATGCACTGTTACTAGATTAATGGGATTTTTATTCTGTCTAAAAATTATTTTATTACTGCTTACCTTCTTAATGTTATATCAACCTCTATCACTTGATCAATAAAAAGGCAGACACACAACAAGTGCACTGTTAAATCTATTAAAACTGATAAAAATGTACAAAAGTTTAGAAAAAAAGTATAAATGTCACACATTACATTACTTATTTTATTATACTTAAATGTTTAAATACTTAAAATTAAAAATTAGGCATTAATTTGAGCAGCTGTTTTCCCATGCTAACTGTCTCTGTTTCACTGATGGTTGCTTCTTTTCAAATACACTCATATTTGCTATAACTTTGCATGAGAACATCAAGTTCAGCCAGAGAAAGAAATGGTGATCTCTTTTATAAGATATTGCCATAGTCACTCGTAATGTCTGCGCTCCATTGATAATGCCTTTTTAAAGTCACGGTGTGCGCGCTTAACTCTGAGTTGGTCTACTCAAAGTTGATTGACCCAACTCAGATCAGCTGTTCTGAAACCGAAAACTCAGAGTTTTTAATCTCTCGGTAAATCAACTCAGAGTTCAAGTTTAAACTCCGAGTTGTTTGAACCTCCTTACTTAAACAGGCCCCTGGAGAACATGTTTGGTCACAGATTAATGTTTTGAATTATGTTATTAATCTTAATAGTTAACTGAAGAATAAAAAAAGATATTCGTTTAAATCGGGCTGAGCAATATGACAAAAATAAATCACAATATAAATAATCTTATGTCCTAATATGTTGTGTGTTTGTGTGTGTGTGTGTGTGTGTGTGTATATATATATATATATGTTTATATATGTGTTTATATATATATATATATATGTGTATATATATATATATATATATATATATATATATATATATATATATATATATATATATATATATATATATATATATATATCCAATCCAATTGAGCCATGCGTTTGTTTACTAATCAAGCATTTGGAGTGTACGCTAAAGTGATTTTTATATATTGGGTGTGTTTTTGTGTAGAAAAAAATGTGTGTATTTTTAAGCAGACATCTCCTTTGGTTGAGCAACATTATTGCAAGGTGGGTGTTTTCTTCAAGCATTTATTTTATGCACATTACCATTGCATGTTTGTATTTGTCTCTTGCCTAAACTACCTCAACGAACTTTAGTTAATGATATGGAATTATTTTAGTTATACATCAAGTGTTATTTTTTATTTTAATTTTTTTTGTGAAATTTTTTTAGTTGTTGGCTTTAGAATGTTTAAATACTCCAAACCTTTTTGTTATACATATTGCTTGCAGAACTAATTGGAAAATCTAAAGAGCATTGTTGGAATATTGGTTTTAAGCTGTTACAATCATGCTGAAAGCAAATGGACGATATGTTTACTTTTTACGTCACTTCACTACATCACACTTTGATTCGTTGCTGAATAACTAGTCAGAGCACTCTCTTTAGCTGAAGACCAACATCGATTAGACATGCTTAATCAGGTCAAAGAGCTCCTATGTTAACCTGATGTCAAACCAACTAGCCTGAAGTGCATTTCCGAAAACCATTGTTAGCCAACTAAGGTTGCAAGTTCTGTTGTTACAAACGTAGTTCGTTGATTTGCCATTTCCCAAATCCATCATTCCAACGAACATTCGCCAACTTCAAGTATATATGTTTCTCCCACAGTCCAAAACATGAGACATAAGTAAATTGACTAAACCAAATCAGCACCATAATCAATTCCACCAGCAGCTCACCCTCACAGCAATCCCTAAGCAGCAACTTTTATGCCCGCTTTGAACAATGATGGGTGCGCGTACACATTGCAAGGCCCAGCGTCTCTCCAATTTCTGCAGTTTTGCAGTATTATTCCTGCTCATTTCAGGTCTGTTCGTGCAGAACAGCAGTGCCTTTACATTGTACACCCGACAGGAGATCTTGGATATGGGTTTGTGCATTCCAGACAGATTTATTAGCAATCTTCGACTCATCACTGAGATCGCCAGAACACCCGAGGGTGAGCGCTCTTCCCAGCCGGGCGGAAGTGCTCGAAGGCGGCGTTGAGACCGTAAACGAAGACAGGGGAACTGGGGCGAGCTAAGAGCAAAGCTAAAGCTAACACCACACCGGCTTTCTTTATCCAGCATTTTTCTTGTCAATATATAGTCACTGGTGAACAAAATGGATGAGATTCGCCCTGCAAACAAGAGGGAGCCCCGGGCTCGAGAATCTTAGGAGCTCAGGGCACTCTCCCGGGACAGCATGCCAAACTACCTTTATCACCACTCATCAGCTAAGTGTGAACTCTTGAAATTTACAATATCATCTTTCCAAAATGTACTGAACTTAAATGTGACTTTTTGAGGCAGCTATCAAACTAATAGTGAAAACATGGAATGGTATCTTGCTTGTTGACTTAAAATACTTTTTTTAGATGCTTTATTGCCATTAATATGTAAATGACAGGAGAGGGGAAAAAGGTTTACCAGTAAATTTACTAGTATTGCTATATTTGTGTGGACCTTTGGTCCCCTCGATGTAAGGAATACAAGGTACGCACACACGTGTGATTTGCTATTTCCTCTGTAATAGATGCTCTTCAGGATGTGGGACTTGGGTGTGATATCAGCTTCTTGGCAATGACCTTTGCATTTGCAGATAATATGTGTGAAAATTGACAACTTTGACAAACTAAAAATCAATGTAATGGATATTTAGAAATGCGTATGCATATAAATCAGTCCCTGTTTTCATGTCTCCCCTTATTTTGTAAGACAAACATCAGCCTTCACACTTCACACTGTTGCACAACTTATTTGTCCAACACGGTCCACAATAACCACACAGACTTTTTTTCACTTGTCAAACTGCAGTCAGCAGGTTTCATTCTTACTCTCTTTTTGGTTTTGGTGTTGCATCATTGTATCATTCACAGTCATGGCTGAACACATTGTGATTTTTTTTTTCTATTTCTCTCTCTTAATTTCCACTTGTTCTGAATGTAAAATTATTGGCTTCATCATTGTTACATTAGTACAAAAGTATTAGTGAATCTCCTTATACCAACAGTCGCTTTATTAACTTTTAAAAATCGCTTATTTCTACCGCGAGTGAGTTCTTTACAACTTTACATTGTATTCCGTTTCCATGGCGACACGCGCTTCAGTTAAGAAGCGCGGCAGATTTGAAATTGTGTCCGTTACATTCGAAATGTTATACATTGTTAATAGCTTTTTTCGTAAGGTGAAAGAAACTGCATAAGACTTTGTTATCGTGACATCCTGTTTTTCAGTTTTATCAGGAGACCTGCACTTGAGCCACACTGAACAGTCTGATAACTTTATCTGCACACTTTTTTTGTGTAAAAAAACAGACGTGCAATTCCTTTGTGACTTACCAATTCAGAAGAGTCTTTACGTCAATCGTTCTTTGCTGCTGTGGTTTGTTGTCTTGATCTGTGAAGCGAGGAGGGAAAAAAACAAACGGGTGCTCTTGAGGCGACTGAGCTTTTGTTTCCCTCAGTGATTTTTTCCAACCACTGTTTCAAGCTCCATCATCCTGAGCACCTTCAGTGATATTTTATATATTTTGGACACAGGAACTGTTCGACTGATGAAAATGCTTACCAGACTAGTTTTGTTTTGTTTGTGCTGTTGTCACCTGGCTGGTAAGTTAAAAACGTTTTATTATTTACAATAGCAGATGTATTAGTAGCCTACAAAAGAATATTCCACTGTTAAAATGTTATTAACTGTTATATAATCTAAAGTACATTATAAAGACTGAACTAAGTTTTCAGCATCACATGGCATTAAATTAATTTGATGATTTAATGATCAAGAGATATTTATTATTATCAGTGTTGAAGCAAGTGACTATTATCAGTTTGGCTGCTTGTTTTTTTAAGAATTTTTTTTTTCTAAATTATTGTTACTAGAAAGTTCAAAACAACACTAGTTATTTGAGATAGTTCAATTCATGTTTACTTCTATAGCGCTTTTGCAATGTAGATTGTGTCAAAGCAGCTTAACATAAAAGTTCTAGTAAATTGAAACTGTCAGTCATGTTTTCAGAGTCTTATAATGATTAAGATCTTGTATTTTTCATGTATTTGGGACATTTTGCCATGTAAATGAATCTTAAAATGAGATTCCCGTTCCATTTAAGTCTGTGAATATTTAAATAGAACACAAAATGGTAATATTTATCTTGTAAAAATATTAAAATTGAACTCTAACATGAATTTTTTTAAATGTACATTGCTTCAAAGTTTAAAATTTCCACTTTGTTAAATCCATTTAAAAGTTTTTTTTAGATGTTAGTTTGTTCATTTTAAGGAAGTCTTTAAGCTAGTGTGCTTAAAAACATCAAAAAAATAAATAAATTCAGATGCTCAAACCTTTGTGACCAATCAAATTTCTCTTTTAGATTCTCACATGTCCCGCCCCCTTCAAGTTGCTTCATTTGCTTTTCATTTGATGCGCTTGAGCTCAACCACTTTCACCTTGCACTTTGGCAGTGCTGTAATGAACACTGCACTTTGTACGGGTGTAGTAATGAACAAAGAAAGTAAACAAAGCAGAAAGCGATAACAATTTATAGGGAAGATTTCATTTTTGTACACTAAACAAGTAACGTTATTGTTGATAATACAATCTCTTACTTCACCGACCATAAGGCAAAGTAGCATCAACTCAAGCTTAATTCTAGGCTTATACTAGTTGAATAAAATCAGCAAACAATGAAAATGAAATATGACAACAACATATTATAAAGTCATTTCTAAGTGATTTATTGAGCATAAATAGTCCTCACTTTAGATTCGTTCACAGAGCTGAATGAAGTTGAGTTACTGTAATAAAGCATTTATTAACATACAAATTAACTGTTAATATATGCCTGAATAATAAGATATATGAATGTAAAAATTTTACATTTAAAATAACACCTATTCTTAAATAGGTAGTTTGTAAATAATGCACTTAATAATAGTTATGAAAACAGAATTATTAACAAAGTATGAAAATACAATCATTAGGAACAATAAATGTCAAGAATACAGCATTTGTATCTGCATTTAAAAACTGCTTACTAACGTCTATTAATGTAGAGTTAGTACTTAACAGATAATGAATTAACTATTTGCTAATGCTTAATAAATGATTCATAGTGTCTAGTTATTATAAAGTATTATCACCAGTCTTTAATTTGTACTCTCATCCTGTACCTCAATTTGTCATGGGGGCATGAATGAAATGTTCCTAAATGAAAGTGAAAGTGCCAAACTGCAAGCTGAAAAAATAAAAATGAAACACCCAACATTACATAAAATTCCAGAGGAAATGTGGATAGCACTGTGACACAGTAACCTTAAGCAATATTTGTGCTATAACATGTAAAACGAGGTCATGAAAAGAACATTCCGAAAGTAACTCCTATAAACACTTTAATGATATTATTGTCTCAATTATATCAAAGGAAATCCATCGATTACTGATGTCATTGTTTTTATCTCCTGATGCAGATGCAGTGAAGTCAGTGTCTGTAACGGAAGGAGATTCTGTCACACTAAACTCTGACTTGACAGAACTACCGACCGGACGTCTGATTATGTGGAAATTTGAGCCTAATGGGAATCTTCTTGCGAAAATCGATTTAACATCCAAGCTTATCTCCATATTTGATAAAGGGGAATTCAGAGGAAGACTGAAGGTGGACAATCAGACAGCATCTCTGACCATCACAGACAGCAAAAAAACAGATGCTGGAGTATATATAATGAGCATCAGTCACAACATTAAGAGGACATTTCTATTCAACGTTACTGTATACGGTGAGTATATGACCTACATTACTACAGTAACAGCAACAACAGCCAAAAATGGTTTTAATCAGTTATTTCTAGAAAATATTACAGGCCTAAAAACCTTTGCACAGCACTGTATGTTACATTGAAGAGCTAGTTCACTCAGAAAATTACCTCATGATTTACTCTCCCTCATTAGAGTTCCTTTCTTCGGTTGAACACAACAGAAATTCAAGAGTTCACACTTAGCTACTGATTGATTATAAACCGTGGTCGACATGCTGTCCCGGGAGAGAGCCCTGAGCTCATAAGATCCTCGAGCCCAGGGCTCCCTGCCACTTGCAGGGCTAGAGGGGAGTTTAAGCCCAGGTAGGTCTCAAGAACTCCCCTGCTTATTTAGGACTAATGAGAAATAAGGTTTGCTATGGAGAGATGTACTGCAGATTAAGAGCTCGTGAGCCAACGTGAGCATGGGGAGAACATGCAAACTTAGCATAGAAACATTGACTGGCCTGGTAGGGACTTGAATTAGTGACATTCTTGCTGTGAGGCAGCAGTGCTAACCACTGGGCTACCATGCTGCCCTATTAAGGAAAAGGGAGGAGTTGTTCGAGACTAAGGTAAAGGCTGATTTATACTTTTGCATCAAGCACACACGCATGGTCTGGCACAGCCTCCGCACGGTCGCATAGTTGTAGCCATGGCTGACGCTGATGCGCACCTTTCAAAAAATTGAACTACACATCGCAACGATGCTTAGCGCAAACTCTGTAATAGGTAAACTTGGTACCGGTGATGAGTATGGGTGGTGCTGAGAGCCGCAAACCCAATGGAGAAAGTGTTTACAAGTGTTGAGTGCCATGAAGGAGCTCCGGATGGAAACTTTTGTTTTGTGTTTACCTTATGATTAAAGTTGTTGCACATCCGCAGGTTCCCGCCTCTGAATGAGCAAGTTCGAGGTACTTGTAGCACTCAGAAAAAAGCTAAATACCTGCGAAGAAACTCGACACAGAGGAACATAAAAACCTACTGCCAGCTAGCGTATCGGAAGTGTTATTACAGTGCAACAACAGGGTGTCCGCAGGCTCTTAAAAAGTATTAAAAGTTGATGAATCAGTTACGAGAAAATGAACACCCTTAAAAAGTATTAAAAAGTCTTAATCACCTTTTTACAAGGTCTTAAATTTTATTTAAGCATTGTCCAAAGTGTTTGACTCCAAAAAAGCATAAATATATTTATTTTACTCCTAATATTAACAACGGCGTGCTCGATCCACATGATTGGTTCGGGTTGGGGCACGACCGGCCAAGCTCCTCCGTCTTAGTGATGTCACGTAATTTGCAACAAACGTGGGAAGGTGATGTGACGCCTTCTACATGTAGCGAAACCATAGAGCGAAACAGACGGCGAAATGGGAAAATGTAAGTTTGCGTACCCCTGATGTAAGAAAGACGAGTTTAAACAGAAGCTGAAGCTGAAAACAACCACACAATTTATTCTGTCAAGCTTTGTTTCTTCCAAGCATGGTTGTGCTCCAATGATTCATTTAACTACAACTGTTTATTAACAAATGTTTATTAAGTTAAAGGTTTGATAATGACTAGAATTTGAAGTAGCGATGAGGTCTTAAAACTTTTTAAGATTGTCTTTAAAAAGTCTTTAAAAGGTTTGGAAATTACCTTTAGGTTCCTACATTTACCCTGAACAAAAACGTCACACAGAACTATAAATGCACATCTATGCACAAGGCAGGCGCCATGAGTCACGCCGATCACTCACGCAGAAGTATAAATCAGCCTTAACTATGGTGAGAAACTATTTTATTTATCGTGAGTTAGCAATCATCTGATTACGGTAGTGAATTGTGTTAGCTAATGCGGGACCAGCTGTGGTCAATCATAAGCACTTGATCCTCCTGAAATTAGTTCATAAATAAGCTTCACATATTTTAAAGAGTGCGGGCTGCTGTAACCTATCAACTTCCATAGTAAGAAAAAAAACATAGAAGTCAATAGGTCTCTGCGATTTTGTTGTGTTCAACAAATGAAGGGGAAGTAAATGATAGCAGAAGTATCATTTTTGGATGAGCTATCCCTTTTATAGTACTGTTTTCACGTTACAGAATTATATTGTGTCCAAATATTCTCATGTTTTCCAGCTCGTCTACCTGTTCCTGTCATTATCAGTGAATCCCCACCAAATTCTTCGTCCTCATCTTCATCAGTGCAGTATTGTTCAGTGCTGTGTTCAGTGGTGAATGTGAGTGCTGCGAGTCTCTCCTGGTACAAAGGAAACCGTTTGTTGTCCAGCATCAGTGTGTCTGATCTCAACAACAGCTTCCCTCTACATATGGAGTGTCTGGATGGTTCCTACAGCTGTGTGGTCAGCAATCCCATCAGCAACCAGACTCAACATGTGAACAACACTGAACACTGCCAGCCATGTTCAGGTATGTCAGATTGGTTTGTATCCAATCTATGATCTGTTTGTTTACATTTTCACCTCACTGTGATATTGGGCTTTTTTGGGATATTAGCTTTCACAATGTATGTAAATGTAGCTGTTTGTGAATGTAAAAACCAGCACACACCATGGTGATGATCAGCCATGTGGTGGTATCAGTGACCCCCTGTTTCGTGTGTGTGATTTATTTACATTCACTTAATTAACAGACGCTTTTATGAAAGAAGAACCTCAAATGATCAGAAAGTAGCAATAAATAAATGCTGTGATAAGTTTAAGTTTTTTTTTTCTCCGAGCATACGGAGAGGACAGAGTTTGTTCTACAGGTTGTTTGTCTAGCCTACTCAACTTTATGAAGCACACTTGCATCGCATCCACTCCCATGCTTCACTCTGGGCATGCAACAGTCTGAGTGTTATGCTTATTTGGGGCTTCTCCACACCTTCACCCTTTTACTAGATGTGGGAAAGGATCTGAAGGTGGATTCAACAGAGTCCACCTTCAATACATGTTTGTGAAACAATACGTTTCACATTGTCCACAGCCCAAGTTTTTTGCTGCTGGCACTATTAAAACCAATGTTTACAACCCAGGTTAATTGCGGATATGTACCCAGGACTACATTTCTGGGGGCAGCGAAATACATAATCGGAGGTACATCTGCTCGCAGTTTTTGTTTTTGCAAATCCATCAGAGGCTGCTGTGTCTGCTTTTTGATGATCTCAAATTTCACATAAATCCACTTGAGGGCGCAATATACACTTCAGCTGACCAGGCCAGCTTGCTGTCGACCGACCGACTGAACAATAGTGTGTTCAAATCCAATCTAAAAAAATAAAAGCCATCACGGCTGTGCAATTTCACCACGTTTTCAGCCTGTTTATTTATTTATGTTTTGCTTGTGATTTACATGCTTTCTGCATCTCTGGACTCGAACCCCATCATCGCGGTCATCTCAAACTGTCAAACTGGTAACACCAGAAAAGCCGTCCACATGGACAGAAGCCATCGGCGGTGTCATATCGCCCGTAGTGTTCATTTTTAAGACAAAATGCAGTCAAACATACCTCTAGCTATATAATTCGCAATCTCCAGAAATTTAGACAGGGGTACGTATTCACAATGAGCCTGTGATGAGTGTTTGGCCTTGGCACGAGTAACCAAAGGTTTGGCTATAGCACACTGGTCATGTGTATTAAAAAGGTGGTGCTCCCGAGCTGATCAAATTTAGCCATGAATTCTCCAACACTAAACTGGCCAATGTTTCAGTTTCACTGTCCAACCCCTGTGTATATACAGTTCAGTATTGTTAGCCCCCCTGTTTATTTTTTTCTCCAATGGCTGTTGAACGTTTCAGAATTTTTAGATTCATTTTTATATTTGCCATGATGACAGTAAATGATACAGTTTGACTAAATATTTTCCAAGACACTTTTATACAACTTAAAGTGACATTTAGAGGCTTAACTAGGTTAATTAGGTTAACTAGGCAGGTTAGGGTAATTAGTCAAGTTATTATATAACAATAGTTTGTTCTGTAGATTATTGAAAACATATATAGCTTAAAGGGGCTCAGAATATTGAAAAAAATTTAAACTGCTTTCATTCTAGCCGAAATAAAACAAATAAGACTTTCTCCAGAAGAAAAAATATTGTCAGACATACTGTGAAAATTTTCTTGCTCTGTTAAACATCATTTGGGAAATATTAAAAAAAGAAAAAAAATTCAAAGGGGAGCTAATAATTCTGACTTCAACTATATATATATATATATATATATATATATATATATATTTATATATATATATATATATATATATATATATATATATATATATGAATAAAGTAAAAAGGAATTATTAATATCAAAAGTTAAACTGATTTGCATGTTGATGGTAATTCAGGAATGTACCATGTTTTCCTTGTTTTTTTTATTCCCTCAGATTGTGCATTCTGCTGTCATGTTTCTGAAGTTGTCACTCGATTGGTCCTCTCTGTTCTGGTGGGCGTGGCTACTGTTGTTATTTTAGTTTATGACATCATCACATCCAGGAAAGGAAAAACATGAGGGAAATCATGGCTTTCACAGATGAGGTGTTCATGATGTGAATCTGTATTTCATACTAAAGTCACAATTACATTAAGAAATATTTACATTACCTCTTTTCACCTTATTCTTCACCGATGAGCGGGCGCAGCCATTTGAATCTTTTTGGCACGAGACTCATTCACGGTCTCATTCACTTCCATTCATTTTTAGACATTAAAAACTGCTCGTTTCGCTGTTTTATGTTACAAACTGATATTTCCTTGTTATATTGTTCTACTTGGTCTGTATAGTCATGCAAACATTTGTTTGTAGAGCAAGTAGTTTGACCGTTTTTTGCCATTTATTATTCGTAGTCATTTTTCCCATAGGCGACTGAATCGGAAGTTCTAAGACAATCGCGAAAACAGGCGCACTTCCGCATTTTAGAATAAGGTCAATATAGTTTCCTAATATATTATTTCCTGATGGCAACAAGGTGGCTCAGTGGTGAGCACTTTCACCTCACAGCAAGAAGGTTGCTAGTTCGAGCACCGGCTGGGTCAGTTGGCTTTTCAAAACTCGCTGTGTAAAAAAAAAAAAAAAACATATGCTGGATAAGTTGGTGGTTCATTCCGCTGTGGTGCGACACCTGATGAATAAAGGGACTAAATCGAAGGAAATTGAATGAATGAATATTTCCTGATATGATTATATCCTTTTAAAAATATGTTTCCGTCAAAGTCAATTATTATTATTAATATTTTTGTTGTTATTATTATTTTAGGTTAACTTGTCATATTTAGCACATTTGTCACCTCTGAATTGAATGCTTGTTTTTCTTGCCTTTTCTTTTTGAATCTTCATATAAACATCTGCATATTTCCCTGCATATATAGATGCTTAAACGATTTTAGACTTTTACTGTACACTCAAAATTGCAATAAAATAAATCTCCATAATGTATAACAACGATTTTGTCATTTTTATAAATCCTAAAAGATTTATTTGAGTTTTCTTAAAATATTGTCGAAAGTTATTTTTAAACAATATTCACGTTATTTGCATTTAATTTTATTTAACTAATAGACAGTTTACTAAAAAGCATTTTGCTTTTAAGCATAATAATATCAACAATATCAACACCATAACATCACCAATTATTCAATGAAAACAATCACTTTAAAATGACTTCAAATACTCTCAAAGGGATAGCCTGGAAAACTGTAACCATTGACTTTCATAGTATTTGTTTTTCATACTGTTAAAGTCAATGTTTACAAATTTTCAGCATTCTTCAAAATATCTTGTGTTTAATGGAAGAAAAAACATGAAACTCAAAAAGTTCTGGGACCACTTGAAGAAGAGTAAATAGTAAATAGTAGAATTTTAATTGTTATGGCGTCACGGTAGCGCAGTGGGTAGCCCGATCGCCTCACAGCAAGAGGGTTGCTGGTTCGAGCCTCAGCTGGGTCAGTTGGCATTTCTGTGATTGCATGTTCTCCCCATGTTCTGGGTGCTCCGGTTTCCCCCACAAGTCCAAAGACATGTGGTATAGGTCAATTAGGTAGGCTAAATTGTCTGTAGTGTATGTATGTGAGTGTGTATGGATGTTTCCCAATGATGTGTTGCGGCTGGAAGGGTGTCCGCTGCGTAAAACATGTGCTACATAAGTTGGCGGTTCATTCCGCTGTGGCGACCCCAGATTTATAAAGGGACTAAGCTGAAAAGAAAATGAATGATTGAGTGTTAAATCAGTTTCTCAACCATGTTCCTGGAGGACCACCAATACTGCATGTTTTGGATGTCTCCTTTGTCTGTCACACCCATTACACGTCTTTTAGTCTGTAACATATATGCTGGAGGTAAATATTCCGTGCAACATTCCATGAAAACGGTCTGGGCTCAGTCGACAGGACGGTTTACGACTCCTGGCTCCACAAAGTCTGGGTAACTGGAGAGATAAGCCTATATCTTCAAAGACATTCCTGCCCAAATACACACACACACTCAACTCCCCACACCCAAAGGACACTAGTCTAAAGAAAAATCGACTGAGAAACCACGGACCAGCACAGAACTAAAATGTTATGTTTGCAAACTTTGTATCTCATTTCTGACTTTTCTTACCTGTATAACCCCTCATATAACCTGTACTGTAGGTGTGGTCCCTTTAGGCCTTTTTAAAGCATAAATAATGTGAGGATGTGACAAATTATGTTGATGTACTTTTAAACCCCCCATGTTTGGTACCGATGGGTTTCTGCTGACATTTTACAACACATAGAGCATAGAGCAAGATCATAACTCGCATTGCTTTATTCTTTAACTCCATGTATTAAATGCCTGTCCGCATGCTTTGGGCGGACACTCAAATTTGCATACGAGCAGCCTCGAGACAAAGGAATGTTTAGCGCTCAAACTTCCCCCCGAAATCATTGGTCAGAATGCTGAACGGGTTGTCACGTGGGTATAACCAGACTTCTCACTGAACTAAATCTTTAATTCACCTCATTTGTATGGTAGGGAAAAGATTAAAAGCCTTGTAGTGACATAGCAATCTGTGCATAGATGGTCATAAAACCTAGAACCTGTCAAAGCTGTAAGTAAATCAGCATACTATCATCTCAAAAACACTGCAAGAATTAGATACTTTGTTTCCAGTGAGGAAACTTGTTCATGCTTTTATCAGCAGCAGGGTGGATTACTGTAATGGCCTCCTAACCCCAAAAGACAGTAAGACCGTTGCAGCTCATCCAGAACGCTGCTGCCAGGATTCTGACCAGAACCAGAAAAACAGAGCACATCACACCTGTCCTCACGTCTTCGCACATGGCTCCCAGTTACATTCAGATTAGATTTTAAAGTATTACTTGTCTATAAATCACTTAGGACCTCAATGCGTTACAGATATGCTCACTGAATACAAACCTAACCTTATCAGCAGAAAATTGTCCTCAAAAAAACTTTAAAATTCATTTTGTTGTAATTAACGTGTTACTCAACCATGCCCGATTACTTCCAGTCATGTTCCGACTTGAACAGAACATCAGTCAGGTTTACATTCTGCAAAACAGGCCATTGCAAGCCTCAACATAGAGTTTTGTTGAGTTTCTCCCACCGCAGGGTAAATAGCTACTGGAGATTGAACATCATCACAGCACTTCTATACGTGTCAACATGAGGAACCGTGCTGTAATCCTCCTATTCGTGCTATCCATAAACGGTAAGTTGTCCTTTTCACACTTTTAAATAATTCTGCATTCATATTAAATGTGATTTTTGTGTGTGCATAAATACATGTTCTGTTTTTTTTAGCTGTAATTAGGGTTGAGACAGAAGATGTGGAGTGCTTATCAGTGACTGTGGGAGATTCTTTGACTCTGCAGACGAATGTGAGTCAAATAGAGTCGAATGATGCGATTGAGTGGTGGTTTGGGGGAAATAACATTGCTTGGATCAACAGTAACCCCAACAATATCACACATAACATTTATATTACGCGTGACAGACTGGAGCTGAACAGGCAGAGTGGAAACCTCAAAATCATGAATGTCAAAATGGCAGACTCTGGACTTTATGAACTGGACATTAGCAGCCCCAGCGGGTCGACTTCGAAGAAATTCAATGTCACTGGTGAGTATGAAGGCTTTCAGATGAGGTTTAAGTGTATGTGTTTGTTGACTAACAGGTACTTTTCCTGTTCCCGTGACCGATACAGTATCAAATGGATTGAAGGTTGAGTCCGTGAGAGAGAGAGACTCTCTCATTCTACCGACTGGTCTTGATCAATTACAGAGAGATGATCGGCTGACCTGGAAGTTTGAGAAGACGATCATTGCTCAAATAAATCAAACATGTGGAATGTTTACTGTGTATGACGCCGTTCTTGATGGAAGGTTCAAAGACAGACTGTTGTTAAATAAACAGGATGGATCACTCATCATTACTAGCGTCAGACTCAACATCACTGGACTTTATGAAGTAGAGAGGAACAGGGCCAGCAGAGGATTCAGCACACACAAGACATTCAGTGTTATGATCATTGGTGAGTTTCTTCAAAACTTTTTCATTATGATTCTTGGAGGCCAATTACAAATAATAATTATTATTATAGGCCTAGATCTGGGTAAAGTCAATGTCAATGTCAATTTTATTTATATAGGACTATTAAACACAACCAAATGTTGACCAATGTGCTGAACAATACAAATCACAAAGAACAAGTATAAAGTTATAGCTAAAACATTCAATTCTCACTAATAGTTATTATAGCTAAAAACAAACAAATCTCACTGATAAAATGCCTTATCAAAAAGGTAAGTTTTCAACCTAGATTTAAAAACAGACAGAAATGAAATAGACCTAATACAGAGGGGCAGAGCATTCCACAAAGTAGGACCAGCTACTGCGAAACCCTGTCACCCCTGCATTTCAGCCTCGACTTTGGAATGTATAATAGTCTCTGGTTTGATGACCGAAGAGACCGACCAGGCTGATGTTCAGTCAACAGGTCTGACAGGTAGGAATGAGCTAAACCATTTAAAAATTTAAAAACCAGGAGAAGAATTGACACGATAGCGCACAGGCTACCAGTGCAGAGAGCGCAGAACTGGTGTAATGTGGCCATTTTTTTGGTCCAGGTTAAAAGCCTTGCAGCAGCATTTTGAACTAACTGTAGGCGGGATAGAGTTGTCTGACTGATCCCAAAATATAGCGCATTACAGTAGTCCAATCTTGAAGTAATAAAAGCATGAATTATTTTTTCACAATTTTTCTAGATAAAATAGGTTTGACTGTTTTTAAAAGTCGAAGCTGAAAAAAGCAGGATTTGACCACTGCGTTAATCTGTTTATCAAATCTTAAGTCATCATCAAAGATTACACCCAGATTTTTTTACACAAGGCGTCACAGACAAACCCAATTCACCAAGATCAGCTGGTGATGTCCTAGAATAATTTGACAAGCCGAACACAATTGTTTCAGCTTTGCTCTCATTAATATCTAGAAAGTTCAAAGATAACCAGGCTTTCACGTCCGACAGGCAAGACATAAGAGTCACCAGTCCACTTGAATTCGGTTTTAAAGACAGGTAAATTTGAGTGTCATCTGCATAACAGTGGAAAGACAGACCATGTTTTCTAAAAATAGAACCCAGGGCAAGCGTATATAAGGAAAAAAGAATAGGGGCTAAAATAGATCCCTGGGGAACACCACATGACAAAAAGGCTGCCTCAAAAGAATGTTCACCAATGGTGACTTTAAAACTGCGATTGAAAAGATAAGACTAAGGGTGCTTTCACACCTGTGAATCGATTCAGTTGTTCCGAAACAGAGATTACAAATGTTACATTGTTGCTGTTTGCTCTTGGAGCGGTTCGCTTTCACACGGCAAAGTTTCTAATCGGACCAAAAGAGCTAAAACAAGTCACGTGCGAGTAAACTCCTTACATTGGTCAGAGTATCAGGGTTTATTTTGCAGCGTCCCGCTAAGCTGTCAGGAGAGGTGGTGGTTTGGTGGGGATTGACAGGGTGCGCGCGTGACGTGTCTGAGGAGAGACGCGGTGGGGAGGGGTGAGAAGGGTGCGCGATGATGCCTATTTGAGGACCGGGAGGGAGACGCGAGATTACCAGGAGATCATCACTAGTTTGCGGGCATCCGGAGACTCGCGAAACTTCCCGCCATACTCATAATTCTCTCTTCATATAGCCGTAAGCCTATTACATATCCATAAAACACTGTGATATAACCACGCTCGGATCGTTTGCTTTCTCACTGCAATCGAACCGCTCCAGGGTTCGTTTCAATCGAGCCGAGACCACCTCATTCAAGCGATCTCGGAGCGATTACTTTGGCGCAGAACAGAGCGCGATTGCCCTGTTCACATATGCCAAACGAACTGCGCTAAATGGGCAAACGAGATACGTTCCGAAACAAAAGTGTAGGTGTGAAAGCACCCTTAAACCAATCCAGGGCACTTCCTTTTATCCCTACAATGCTCCAAATGGGCCAGTAAAAAAGCATGGTCAATTGTGTCAAACCCAGCAATCAGATCTAAGAGCACAAGCACAGCACAATCTCCAGCGTTACCAGTTAATAAAACATCATTTAAAACTTTCACCAGTGCGGTCTCAGTTGAGTGATATTTTCTAAAACCTGACTGAAAGACCTCAAAGATTTTATGGTCATCTAAAAATCTTTGCAGTTTCTGCAGAACTACTTTCTTAAGTCATGTCTCTAACTCGAAAAATGTGTCAACTGATTATGTAATCTCTTTGTCGGGACAGGCGGAGATGATATGCTGTCAGTTACAGAGGGAACTTCTGCCACTCTCCTGTCTGGTGTTTTAGAAATACATCAAGATGATGTGATAATATGGAGGTGTGAACACGGAGACTCCGTCATAGCAAAAATCAGCAATGGCACCTTCTCTACATTTGATGGAGCTGATGGGAGATTCAGAGACACTCTGGAGCTGGACCATCAGACTGGATCTCTGACCATCAGGAACATCAGAACCGAACACGCTGGACTTTATCACATGGATATGATCGGCAGCCGTCGCACCGTATTCAAGAGAATCAGCCTTTCTGTCTGTCGTGAGTATTTGCAATGCTATCTTACACCAATTTGTTTAGTGGCTAATTCATATGTATTTGTACAATCCTATTCGTAAATTTTAGTACAATTTTACATCCAATTATGGTTGGGTTTAGCGATGGGGTTTGGTGCCATGCCTCCTTTTAAAAAGATTTGTTTTAGTGTAGCGGCATTGTAACGGGAGAAACAATAATTCATTTGATTACTCGTTACTGAAAAAGATATTGCCGTTAGTATCGCCATTTATTTATAGCGCCATTATTCCCATCACTAATTATAAAACAGGACAACCACTAAACCACTAGTGCAAACATCAGAAAAGATGACACAGTTGATGATTGTTTGATCTTTTCTATCGTTACAGCTCATGTTCGGTCTGCAGAAGTTGTGTACGTCGGTGTTGCTTTTCTACTGGGCCTGTCTTTATTTGTTCTGGCTGTTTTTTGGCGATCCAAGATCTGTCGTCAAAAGGAAAAAAGGCAAGTATTACAAAGAGCCAACAGTCTGTCTAGATTTTACTTTTATTCATGTCTACTAGGAAGACTGTAAATATTGTGTTGATATATAACTCAATTAATAAAGTGCACTCTCTTGATCAACAGATGCAAATATAATTACAAAAAGTCTGCAATCAAATTACAACAAAGATCAGAGACAGAAGGAGAAGGAAAGAAGAAGTGTGGGGAAAAAGATCTGGACCTGATGCTGCCATTGATATGATAAAGCAGTTAGCAGTTTTATTTGGAGAGAATCAAAAAAGTAAACAACTTCTAAATGAAACTTTCATAGATTGTTCAATGAAATAGATTAACTCGGACAACTTTTAAAACTCAGAAAGCTTTAAAATGGTGAAGTGTTGAAACTTAACATGTGGACCAGAGAAAGAGAAAGAGGAACCATTAGTGCCTGACCTGTTCTTATGGGAAGATAGTGTTATGTGTGTGTGGTTTAGAAAAACAGAAAGTTTTGTAGCTTACATGTGCAGATAAAGGCAAAATAATTACCCTCCTGTAATTTGTTTTTCATATATTTCTTTTAAATATTTCTCAATTTTTCCATAATAGTTTCAATATCCAGTTTCTTTTGTCTTTGCCGTGATGACAGTAATAATATTTTACTATTTACTAGTATTGAGCTTAAAGTGACATTTAAAGGCTGAGCTTTAATTAGGTTTGGGTAAGATTCATTACTCAAGTCATTGGACAATATATATATATATATATATATATATATATATATATATATATATATATATATATATATATATATATATATAAGAAAAATGTAATGGAATACTGTGAAGAAACAATGGCTTATATAGAAACAATAGCAATAGATTTTGGGGAAGCAAATGTTTTTGGGCTTTGAAGGTAGCAAAACCTTTGAACACTGTAAAAAAAAATAAAGCAAAGTTTCATATAATTACATTTTCTTTATGTGAAGTTTTTTTATTAACTAATTTCGAAAGGATCATGTGCTTATGATTGACCACAGCTGGTCCTGCATTATCAAAACAGGATTCAACAGAATCCTAACTCCTATCCTAACTCACTATAAATAATTAGAGTTTCTTACCTTGGTTATCTTTGTCTTGAAGAATACCCCTACTCCTCCTCCTTTCCTTGACAGGGCGCCACGGTAGTGGCCCAGTAGTTAGCACTGTTGCCTCAAAACAAGAATGTCACTGATTCAAATTCTTACTTGGCCACTAGATGTTTCTGTGTGGAGTTTACATATTCTCCCCGTGCGTGCATTGTCAGACCCTCGGCTTGTTCCTGCTCTACCAATCATCGCTTTCCCTCACAAACCACCTCTCTCGCATCCCTCAAACCATCACCGGCCTTCTAATCACCTGCACCTATTCCCCATCATCAAGGACACTGTATAAACCCACCTTATTCTTTCACTCGTCGACCGGTATTTATGTTGGATGGATGTCCTCACCTTTGCCTTCTCCTCTTCATCCATGGATGTCCCTTATGTGTCTTCAGATCTTTAACCAACTGATCAAGGGAAGTGATTACTCTCATATGGTGTTTACTTTAAGATCTGCCATTTACCTGATGAACTGTGTGTCTGAATACTCACCTGCAGATGTTCCCAAGAACGAACTATATGTGAGATCGCTAACATCAGATGTTTACATTACAAGTTGTTGAAGAAGATCACTTAAACTTTGTCACCACTCTCCTGCTCCCTCAATTTGATTCAGTGACTTCTTTTGAATAAAACATGATAAAATATAACCATCCTTGTCTACCTCCGGATTCTCTGCTTTCCTCCCAAAGTTCAAAGACATGTGACATAGGTGAATCAGCCAAGCCAAATTGGCACCATTGATGAGCTCTTAGTCAGCAATTCCTAATTACCATTTGCAAATAATAAGCAGGGGAGTTCTCGACACCTACCTGAGCTCAAACTCCCCTCTCGCCTTACAAACGGGTTCGAAGATCTTATGAGCTCAGGGCTCTCTCTCCCCTGACAGCATGCCAAGCACGCTTCATAGTCAATCATCAGCTAAGTGTAAACTCTTGAAAGGCTTGTAACTGTTTCTTGCAAACTTTTACCCGGGTATTTGTGTGCTGTAGAGAACGAGATTAGTAAGTTGAAAAAAATACACAAGGAAAAAGGATGAAAGTGACCATTGCTTTGTTTGTTTGTTCCACACAATTGCTTCAACACAAATTGATTAAGTTAATTTGATTGTTTTTTTTTTACAAATTTAAGTGGTTTGAACATAAAAATATTAAATTAAAAACTAATTAATTGTTGATTCAGCTCATTTTAAATAAGTAGTTTGAACAAACAGCAAAAATATATCTTTTGAGAGAAGACTTAATCCCTTTATTAATCCGGGGTCGCCACTGCGAAAAGAAATGTCAACAGAAATGTCAACTGACCTAGCCCAGGCTCGAACCAGCAATCTTCTTGCTGCGAGGCGAGAGCGCTACCCACTGTGCCACCATGCTGCCTCTGAGTGAAGACTACTCACTGTTATTTTTCATTTCTTTACATTACTTTAGTAGGAGGGTGTGTTTACACCTTTTGGAACAAGTCCGAGTAATTTCTTTCTCATTGGCATGTCATGTTTTGCAAATAAGAGCCTTATTTTTCTTATTCTTTCTTAAATTACACACTGAAACCTGTATCCTTGCTTTCTTTGAGAATCAAGAAGATTGGCATGATGAGATTTGTCTACACCGAAGGGCAGGAAATGGGATGAAGGTGGGAATTAAATCCAACAAGGATATTCAGCAAGTCTCAGCCAGCTTGTCCTCACGAATGTACCCAAGCAAACAAAGCTTTTTTTTTTTTTTTTAAAGAATTTAACATTAGGGTGGTATGGTGGCTTAATGGTTAACTCTTTCGCCTTACAGCAAGAAGGTCACTAGTTCGTGTCCTAGATGGATCAGTGTGTGGGGATTGCATGTTGTCACCGTGTTGGCGTGGGTTTCTCCGGGCGCTCTGGTTTCCCCCACAGATCAAACACATGGGCTATAGGTGAATTAAACAAACATACTGGCTGTAGTGTATGTTTGTGAATGAGAGTGTATGGGTGTTTTCCAGTACTGGTTTGCAGCTGGAAGGGCGACTGCTGCGCAAAACACATGCTGGAATAGTTGGCGGTTCATTCCCCTGTGGCGACCCCTGATAAATCAGGAACTAAGCCGAAGGAAAATGAATGAGTTTAACATTGCTTTAATTTCCATTTAGTCATTGCCATTACAGTTGCATTCCGAGAGATAAATGAAAAATTTTGAGCAATGCATCATTTCAGTTCACTTAGCAGTTTAAAAAATAAATAGCCTAAATAAATATCCATACATACTTAAAGTGGATTACTTGCACGGTTTTATTGTTAAGTTAAAGAATAACAATATGTGCTAGCAAAAAAAAAAAAAAACATTGTAAATTTTTATTTCACGTGATTTTAATTTAAGGAAAAATCAGCTTGACATGAAAGTTGATGAGACTTTTCTTTCTGTATGTTTATGTTTATTTTCTTTATTTTTCTTCCTGTGGTCGCTGCCTTTAGATTATGACGCATTTGTAGGTAGCGTGTTCAGGTAAACTTAATCCTTAACTTATTTTGGCAGTGCAGTTATTCTATTGCTTTGGAAAGATTTTTCTCTTTTTGTAAGTGAGAATATTGATAAAGACTATTCTTTACTTTGGAAAAATGACTTTTTTTTTATTTGTTAATTATAAAACAGAAGCTTTACATAAAAACAAAAAAACATTTTCTTAATCTTCTTATCTTATTTACAAAATTTTATATACATAAATTTAATATTTCAAACCAAAATTTATATTTTGCTTACTGAAATGCAGTATTATTTTGGAACTAGTACTCTTTTGCAAAACAGGCTTTAAAAACCACTGAAATTTGTAAATTATATCTTTTTTTCTTTAATGTGTGTTGTATATACCCCTTCTATTTGTTTTTGTTTTTCTTTTGTTTTGTTTTTTGTTGTTTTCTTTTTTCAAAGTGTTTTTCTTTTTTCTTTATACTTGTTTTTCTAATGTTATACTGTAATTTTATATGCTCACTTTTCGCATTAAAACAAACAAAAGAAACTAGCTAAATTAATTGGGTATGGAGTAATTTAAGAGTTATCATGCATTACTGTTATTTAATATGAGGTTAACCTTACAACCACTGACAGCTTACTTTCCTTTCTAGGCTGTTGTTTTCCCTCATTTAGAGAAAACGTCCGTGTGAAATATTTAATTTTGCTTTTCTGGACAGTTTTGTACTTGATGACACTGTTGATTAAAATCTCTTCTATCCAAAAAAAAAAAAAAAAAAAAAAAACTGGAAAACTGGAGCTAAATCTTGCATGATACAGAATTTATACACCCTTAAATTATAATAGCGAATATGGAAATGCGAGTTCCTGAACGCTAGATGGTGCTATGGTACCATACCATGGAGACTGCTTGTACGTCTTGCATCTGTAGCTATCCAAGATTAGATCAATTATGTTTAAGCTAACTAGCATAATGCCTGGCAAAGAAATGTTAATGCAATTCTACATTTATTGATGTGTGCATTACATATAAAAGATATATGTTTTAGAGTGTTTGCAGAGACGTCTGTTGGCAGATGTTAAATAGACGTCTAGAATGAGCTCATAAAAATAATATAGTTGGCTAATAGGCCTAATGTTTTTGAAGATACCATAGTAAAGTGTGTGTGTTTACAACTCTTTAATAATGAATCGATACTCCAGATAAATATAGTGAACTATAAATACAGTAAACTGTGATGTATAGTAGTATAATGTGCGGTTGTAGAAACTTGTATATTATAAAACTATATATAATTACATTTAAATTACTTCTTTGCATATAGTTAATGCGATTAAATACCTTGGTGTGTGGCTTGATTCTGAACTTTACTTTAAATCACATATTAATCATATTGTGGGTAAAGTCCACCTTGGAATTAGTACCTTACATCGGTCTAGACATTATTTTTTATTTGTTTAGTTTTTAGTTTTTTATTTAGTGCTCGCAATAAACTTGCTCTTCAACTTATATATACAATTTTTGATTATTGTGATATTGTTTATCAGACTGCATCGAATCTAGATCTTGCTCCTCTTAATACGGCATATACTTTGCAGATTTGTTCTTGGTTGTTCTTTGTAGACACATAATTGTGTAATTTATGATCTACTGCAGTGGCGAGCTTTGCACACAAGACGACACACTCACTGGCTTCAATTTATATTTAAATGTAATGTAATGTAATCTGTATTTATATAGCGCATTTATTGTGTATGGCCATACACCCAAAGCGCTTTCCAATCATGAGGGGGGTTGGGGGGGGGGGGGGGGTCTCTCCACACCAGCACCGGTGTGCAGCTCCACTTGGATGATGGCGCCAGTGCGCTCACCACACACCAGCTATTGGAGGATTGGAGAGACAGTGAAATGTATTAATTTTAAGTATCCTTATTATTTACAATATTTTGTATTAACAATAACAATATTTTGTATTTTTCCTTTAATTATCAAGACGTTCAGACGTATTTTTTGTTCCTTGTTTTAAAAAAATCTATTGCGAAAAGAGCTTTTATGTTTAAGGGTCAAATAGATTGGAATAATTTACCTGCTAACATTCGTTCCATTGCATTATTTAAGGTTTTCAAGCAAACTGTGCTGTCATATTTTACCTTGGATTGTACTTGTTTATCCTGGGGATGTTATTATTAATGTGGTGATTTGATTCACTGATCTGTATATCTTTTTGTTCTATGTATATGTACAGGACAGGATTATTAGCCCCTCTGAATTATTAGCCTAAAGGGGCTAATAATTTTGACCTTAAAATGTTTTCTTTAAAAATTTAAACTGCTTTTATTCTAGCCTAAATAAAACAAGTAAGAGTTTTTCCAGAAGAAAAAATATTATCAGACATACTGTGAAAATTTCCTTGCTCTGTTAAAAATTGTTTGGGAAATATTTAAAAACTAAAATAATAATAATAATTTATAAATAATAATAATTTTGTCTTCTGGTGCTATTATTATGTGATTGTGGTTAATTGTGGAACCCCCTTGAAAATTAGATGGTACATCTCAAGGGGTTTGTCCTAATGAATAAACATCAAGTGTATTTATTTAAATAAGTAAACAAGTAACTATAATATAAATTATATATTTTGTTTCAAATGGGATATGCCTATATATTTATAACTTCGTTTCATTATTGTTAAACTAATCGTTTGAATAGAAAGCACTAAAATAAACCTCTCTCAGCCAGACCACACCAACCAACCCCAACGGGGAAGTAAAACAGCCACATTTTTTTTTTTTTTTTTTGTTATTGTGACAGGACGCCTTTAAACACGTGATTTTCTTTAACCTTGACAGAAAGGGAACCTGACTCTACACTGAGCATCGGGTTATTACTAGAAACACTCAAGCATCAGTATGAAGAGACTTGTTTTGATGATGTTTAGCTTGATATTCTTGAATGGTAATTTTTTCTGTTCTTTCTTGCTAGCATATACACAAACACACACAATTTATCATCATTATTGTTATTATTATTAATTTTCAGATTTTTTCTTTTTTGCAGGTGCATCTGGTGAGATCGTTGAGTCCGTATCAGTGACTGTGGGAGATTCTTTGACCCTCCACACTAAAGTTAATCAAATGGAGCTGGGTAGTGTGCTGGAATGGAGGTTTGAAAAAAAGATGATAGCTTTGATCAACAGTGACCCCAATAAGATCACACATGTCATTACTAATACTAGTGACAGACTGGAGCTGAACAGGCAGAGCGGAAACCTCAAAATCATGAACGTCAAAATGGCAGACTCTGGACTTTATGAACTGGACATTATCAGCCCCAGTGGGTCGACTTCCAATATTTTCAATGTCATTGGTGAGTATGAAGGCTTTCAGGTTTTGAGTGAATGTGTTTGTTGACTAACAGTACTTTTCCTCTCTTCATTATCAGTGATCAATAAAGCATCAGATGGAGTAAGGGTTGAGTCAGTGAGAGAGAGAGACTCTGTCATTCTGCCGACTGGTCTTAATCAAATACGGAGAGATGATCGGCTGACCTGGAAGTTTGAAGGCACAATCATTGCTCAAATTAACCAAACTGGAATCTTTCCTCATGATGTTCTTGATGGGAGATTTAAAAACAGACTGCATTTAAACCCATGGACTGGATCACTCACCATTACTAACGTCAAATCAAACACTTCTGGAGAATATGTGTTAGACATCAGTAAGAGCAGCAGCGGATTCACCACACACAAGACATTCAGTGTTACTACCATTGGTAAGTCACTTCAATATTTAAACAAATATTGGGGTAAATCTAGAACTATTTAAGCAGTAATTGTCCCACGATTGTCATTTCTGTGCTGCTTGTAGTTCCATTTTAGAATGGGATTTAGAATGTACGGAAAACTGACAGAATTTCCAATCAAAATTTAGAAGCGCCACTCCTCTTAACTGAAGTTTGCCATGGACACTAAATGGAATGCAGTATAGGGAGACAGTTGAGATATCCTTAACAGTGAAATATTTAAATGCATGTGTCAAGATCTTGGTAATGATATATTTATATTCCTACTGGTTTTTACATTTACCGTTATAAATTGTAACAAATATTTAGTTTTCTTTTTTGGTAACACTTTACAATAACAGTACATGAATAATGATGCATTAATATGTAAACTAAACATTACTTTATTATGAATTAATGATGAGTTAAGGTATGCACTAATCATGAATTAACTTTAAGTACAACATGAGTCACATGAGTTCATGTGTAAATAACTACTACCTTAATTACCTGTTAGTACATGTTGTTAATTAATGTATTAATTCACATTTAAGTTTAGGCTAAATGTAACCAACATGAACTCATGAGCTGTTAATGTATAGTTATGTCATGACTTTACTTGGAGGGGCACATCACTATTAACTCATCCTTAACTACTTATGAACTCCTCTTCATGTTGATGTTGACAGAACACTTTTCTATTGTTATTCAGTGTAAACTCACGAGTTGGACGTGCATAAGGAGTTCATGAGTAAGAATCGGTTAATGATGATGTGCCCCTCCAAGTAAAGTCACAACATAATTATACATTAACATATCATGAGTTCATCATGGTTAAATTAAGCATAAACTAATGTGGTAATTAATACATTAATTAACAAACAATCATGAACTAACAAGTAATTAAGGTAGCCATTATTCACACATGAACTCATGTGAATCCTGTTGTAGTTAAAGTTTATTCATGATTAGTGCATACCTTAACTCATCATTATTTCATAATAAAGTAATGTTTAGTTTACATATTAATACATCATTATTCATGTACTGTTATTGTAAAGTGTTACCCTTTTTTATTGAATTAAAAAAGGAATGCCACACACACAGATTCAACAACAGAACAGAACAGAACAGAACAGAACAAACAACTCAAAAAGGGTTATGCATGCCACACCATAGGTGCGAATGTCAGTTTGTAGGTCCAAGTAGGTCCTGTCTTGCTACTTGATCTATATGGACCTTCACTTCTGCCAAGACGGATACTTATTGTTCATTTCTGTTTTGTTTGGTCAAAGCAGAACTGGTGCCCAGACTTTTGAGTTTTCTTACCATAATTCTTCTCCACTTCTGTTAATTTGGTGGAGTTTTGGTTTCTGGGCACAGCTCTAACCAGCATCATAGAGCATTTGAACCATGGAACTGTGGTGTGAGATGTCAAACTGGACAAGAGATGTCTCAAAGTGACAAACTTTTGCTATATGTATTGCTATATAGAGCCTACTCAGTGGATTTTAGATCACCTATAGTGCATGTCTTTGGACTGTGGGGAAAACAGTCCATCACTGGGAAACACCCATACACACTCATTCACACACATACACTACGAACAATTTAGCTTACCCAATTCACCTGTAGCACATGTGTTTGGACTGTGGGGAAAACTAGAATACCTGGAGAAAACCTACGCCAAAACTATGAGAACATGCAAACTCCACATAAAAAAAAGCCAACTAACCCAGCCAGGACTCTAACCAGTGACCTTATTGCTGTGAGGCGACAGTGCTGACTAAGCCATCATGCTGCCCCGTATTTTATTATGACAGATGAAAATTTCAGATTAAATTGACACAACATGCGAAAATTACTGACGAAAATTTCAGATTTAGTGTTTCAATAACCTTTAATTAAAAAATGCACTGTTCACACAGGCAAGAACACTCCACAGTTGATCTGGAAAAGCACCATACATGCATCCATTTTAAAATGCAGTTGACAGAAAGGGCTCTAAATGGCTGCACTCGTATTTGTGAACATGAAGGGGGTCCGGTATTTTTGTTGTTGTTGTTGTTGAAGGTTTCTTATTCCATTTCCAGGGTTTTGGTGGGAAAAACAGAATAAGACAAATGCGTTTTACTGTATGCTTAATCTCTGTACTGTATGTCAGGACAGATGGAGATAATATGGTGTCAACGACGGAGGGAACTACTGTCATTCTCGCATCTGGTGTTTTTGAAATACATCAAGATGATGTGATAATATGGAGGAGTGAACACGGAGACTCCGTCATAGCAAAAATCAGCAATGGCACCTTCTCTACATTTGACGGAGCTGATGGGAGATTCAGAGACACGCTGAAGCTGGACCATCAGACTGGATCTCTGACCATCAGGAACATCAAAACCGAACACGCTGGACTTTATCACATGGATATGATCGGCAGCCGTCGCACCGTATTCAAGAGAATCAGCCTTTCTGTCTGTCGTGAGTATTTCAAGTCATTCTATCAAGTATAAAAAGATCTGATCAGCGCTTGGAGAACAAGTTATATGGCATCGAGTTTTAAATGTGTAACTGACAACTGAAACATGCAGCCACGAGACTGCACAAAACATGTCTTTATACATGTGGGTTGATCTTTATCCTTATTATTATTATTATTACAGCACGGGATTGGTCTGTATGTCTTATAGCAGTAGTTGCTGTTGCTTTTCTGCTGCTGGTCTTGGCTGGAGTCATTTTGGTTCGAGGAAAAATGGGATGTTGTTGCTCTGGTAAGTATTGCAAACAACTGAATGACATGGAGCCTCTGAAGGATCTGATGGACTCAGACATGAAGCCGAACAAACATATGTCATTTTTCAGCCTTCCTAAAGCATATAAAGTGCAGCTACTCTATCATTAAAACCCATGTCAGCCATTTAGCAATGAAACTGTAGTCACCAAGAATTTGTGTCTATTGTCAATTTAATGTAGGAATGAGGTGAAGTTAGGACGACTCTAATGGCCCACGCATTTTGGGGCCCCCAGAGATATTATTAGTTCACGACTGATATTATATTATTATATTATACAATCTGTATGTGTGAACAGGCCCTTTTTGAAAATACCGGTAAATTTGTTTCGGCAATTTTCCAGAAAGAGAAATTGTAACAATACCAGTAATTTGCCGGAATGCTGCGCTGCGTGAACGCAGATGGAAGATTGCCGGAAAGAGCGTGTTTTACGTCTAGAATGTGCTGACGTGAAACGTTTACTCCAGCCAAGAAGAACATTCAGACGCATTCACATCTGAGCTGTTTATGAAAATAAAGGCCTTTGAATATTTATCCAGACACATTTAGTTGCTAGATGTTCGTCAGAAAACGTTTCTATGTTCCTTCTTAATGCCAACCGTGGAAAAAAAAAGTGTTCCTTTATATGTTTTTATTAAAGTTGTTTACAATACTGATCCATCCACAGAATTGGTAATGTAGTAAAATGTTTACAAATACAAGCGCAGCCGTTTAGAGCTCATTTCTGGTTAGTGATATCAGAATCTACCGGTATTTTGGAATGGATATGTGAACGGTCTTTTAGGGAAAAATTCCAGAATGTCCTTGCCTGTGTGAACAGCATTTTGTTTTGTTTTTTAATTTACCACATATTTATGGTAAATTAATTTATTACATATGCATCTCGAAGTTGTCATAGATAAGTGTGTTTCTTACAAAAACTCATCACTTCACTCCAGAAGGCATTTATTTGTCCACTAGAGCTGTATGAATTATTTTTATGAGGAACGGATGCACTTTTTAGAGCTTTAAAAAGCACCATTCACAACCATTACAAAGATTTACCTTAAATGCTGGGTTCCACACAGATCCTTCATCTTGTGTCAACATAAATCAATTAAGTTAACTTAATAATTGTTACAAATTTAAGTGGATTGAACATAAAACAATTAAAAAGACCCAAACGTCCTCAAGGATTGAGATATTTCAGCTCAATTTAAATGTTGAAATGAGCACAAATATTTGGTCAGTTATTTCAGTGTGGGAAGAGCCAGGAAATTATTTAACTCTTTGTTGGGCACTCATTGGAAAAACACTGGAGTGTTACTTGCATTTTATTTGTCAGAAGATTTGATGAGAAACCAACACAATCTCACGGCAATTCGTAACTTTTTGATTTAGTGGCTAATTCGTATGAATTTGTACGATCTAATTTGTGCAATTTAGTGCGACTTGCTCATTCCCCAATGACGGTTGGGTCAAAGAGCTTAGAATGACCAAGAGGCGACACTCTAGTGTAATTTGGGAAACAGCGGCGGCCATTTTGGAGTGAACAACAGCATATTATAAGTCTGTAAAATAAACTATTAAAAGTGCTGATGATTGTGATAATAAGTGTTGTATTGTCGTCTTTCAGGTTGTATCTCAGCTTTAATATGCTTTTTAAATAGATAAATAAATAAAAAAACAAAGCAGCTGCTTGCCATCGCAAAAGTAATGAGATCCAATGGACGGCCGATCACTTTCACTCCAAAATGGCGGAATCCAGGGCTGTTGCTGGGGGTTGTTGCTAGAGCGGATACGTTTGCGGCCGGAAGTTAACAAGACTTATTTCTATTATTTATTAAATTTCTCATTTGTTTTATTTTATTAACGTAAACCCCCACCCCAACCCTAAACCCAACCGTCACAATGTAAAAACAGTTGTTGTACCGAGTATTAGTTATGTTATCTATTAAATAACCCAATAAAATTTATTTTTGAACGCCTACCCCCACGCCGACCCTAAACCCAACCCTCACAGTACTGTAAAAATATGAATTATTGTTATACAGTGTTCAGAAAAAAATCCTGCTTTATTAATGTGCTTATCGCACTTCCGGCCGGCCGCATATCCGGCCTAGACTTTACCGTTGCTGGACGTTGCTGTTGCAATAGAACAATCTATTGAGTGTCACCTCTTGGTCATTCTAAGCTCTTTGGTTGGGTTTAGGGGTGGGGTTAAGTGCCACGCCTCCTTTTTAAAATCATACAATTTCGTACGACTGAATTAGCCACTAAACTGGCAAAATGTAAAATACTTGCGTTTCTCAAGCCTGATCTCACGAGAGAAACATAAGTATGAGGTGACATGAAAAAAAACATTGATCCATTTAGGCAGAAGTGACAAACTACAAGCCTAAATCTTTATAATAGTTTTTTTTTTGTCACACTAGCTTATGGATATCTTAAAAATTAACAATATTGATCCTAACTTTATTTTAATTTCATGGGACCTTTAAGAGTTAATAAGTAGTTTTTTTCTGTTGTTGTCGTCAATTGTGGCTAAACATTTCCTTAAAGCATTAGTCAAAAATCATTTGACGTAACAACGAAGAAAAAAGCTAAATCACCCTGAGTTTATGCTGACTTTGTTTTTAATGCATATGAAACTTTGTGGTGTTTTTAAAAGCAGCCCTTTGAACTCTCAATTTGCGGAAATACAATCAAAACAGATTTCAGGAGAAGTGATACCAGACTTCTTGTAATCATTCTAGTTAAGGGAAAAAATCATCATCATCATCATCATCATCATCAAAAAAAAAAAAAAAAAAAAGATGAACAACTTATCAAGCGCCCTTATTTTTAAACCCTTTCTTAAAGACAAACTCAAATAAAAAGCAGCTCCTGAACCACATAGTTTGTTCACAAGTCTGGTCTTGCAGGAAAAAACACATTATATAGCTGTTAGGCATCAATTAATACTCAAAAGTAGCATAGCAACAGAGTAAAGCATGGTAAAATAATACAGGAAAGGAGCTTTAAATTTTTCATTTCTTTGAATGAAGATCATGGAGAAAAACGGACTGAAGACGGAATGAAGATCATGGAATTAAAGGGGAAAGGCAGGAAAATGAACAGAATGTAACTTTTTTTCATTAGTCCGCAACATTTTAACAGTCAGTTTCAGAGTTACTGATTGCATCTCATGCAGTTATCTTGTTTTTCTTGTATTTTTATTTCAGTTGAAAGCTCTTAAGTAATATGAGACCAGCTTTCTTCCATGGAGTTATCAGATTTAAAGGAATGATGGAAATGAAATGAAGCAGAAAACCGTTCAAGTCTCAACAAACTCAACCTCTTCGAGAATATACTGTATGTTACTAAGCTTGTCAGGAATTATATCACTCATTAAATGGTTTGTGTTTTTTTTCCCTCCAGTTTTCTGACTGAATGTAGTTTATATGATGGTGGTTAGCAAATTCATGTCTATATATGCTACAGATGATTAAAAACTCCTTAAAACTGCTCAATAATGTTTCGTTTATGAATTTATTTAGTAACTAAGAACAAAAATTTGTGTAATCCGAGTAGGTTATTGGAGATATATTCATGTGGATTTAAATCTGTCATAAAAACATCCTTCATTTGTTTTTGTAAAAAGACGCACTTGTCATTTATTAATTAATTGTGTTTGGGATAGTCTTGCTTTGAAAGATTCCTTGTCAAATGTGTTCTCATCTGATTAAGACTATATATAAACCAAGCTTGATTTTACGGTTTCATTTTAGTATTAATTCGGATCATTTGTTTTTCTGAAACCCGTAAATTAATTTGAATAATCTTTGTATGTTCATGTGACGAATGGCATTAAAAACAGATCTGATTTACACACAATCTTTGAGTTTGTCGTGAAATCTTTGAGGCTGCCTTCAGAAATAATAAATGAACTGGAGGTTGCAACTAAATACTTTTCTGGAGATCGCGAATTATAGCCAGATAGCTGCATTTCATTTTTAACACAAACACTATGATGCAGTTCCTTTTTCGTGCAACCAGCTGACTACTCACTTCCATACGGATGGCTTATATGCTGTTTCCAGTTTGTCCAGGGGCTCGCCACATACTTTGGCGGACTTGAGATGCAGAGAAGAGTTGACCACGACAACAGGGTTTGAGTAGCGAAGACAGGTTACAGAAAGCAGGAAAGACAAAAACAAAAGCCAAAAAATAAAATAAACAAGAAAATAACAGGGTGACAATGAGGTAAAATCTGATAACGTGGTAAAAATCAGACTGCCGCGGTTTAGGGAAGGGGGTGGGTTCTGGTAAATCTGTGCTTTTTAAAACACTATTGGTTGGATTTAAGGAAGGGAGTGGGTGGGGGTATCAGTCAGTCGGTCAGTCAGTCAGTCGACAGCAGCCTCTGGTGGATTTACGCAAGAAGAGCAGGCGCTAATGGCACTCACAAGAGAAATCTGAGATCTCAAAAGGCATACACAGCAGCCTTTGGTGGATTCGCGAAACCGAAAACTGCTAAAAACATACCTCCGGGGACAAATTTGGCGCTCTAGGTTTTTATAATGAGCCAGGTTTGGGGTTATTGCTAATAATAATCCGTAGTGTCTCTGTACATTGTGAATGATAATTTTCAAACTTAAATTCAGCAAACTTTCACTTTTTTGTAATAAATGCAGGGTCAAATTACCTGTAAACGTAAATTATTTCCATTTTATGCATTTAAACATGATTTTTTTTCTTGAAAATGCACTAAAATTGGCACTAAATGGCACTAGAAGTATAATATTCACTTTGGTATGTGATATTTATAACTAATAACTTTTTTTAGTCTTGTTTCTAGCCCAAATCGCTAAGAAAAAAATACAAAATCAAGAAGAAATTTATGGATGAGCTAACATGTTTGCTTGTTTTTAGAAATAATACGTCAAAACTAAGTAAGTTTTTACCTTTCAAAAAGTAAAACATTCTTATTTCACAGTGAAAACAAGATTATTGGCTGACTATTTTGCTTGTTTTAAAGAGAAACTCATTTATTTGTGACTTTTTATTTTTGAAAACAGCACAATATGTTTTGCTTGCTTCTTGCTTTAAGAATGTTTAGCTATTTGGACTATAAACAATTCAAAAGCTCTAAGTAGGAAAAGCATTTTTGCAGTGTATGATTGCTAACTGGTATAATAATAATAATAATAATAATAATAAATATGCAAATGCTAATAGCATAACAAATAATTATATGATATAATTAATAATAAAAAGGTAACACTTTAGCTCTGCTGACATTTTTTTTTATCCCAGGTGGAAAAACTGTATGATGGATCCCTCTAGTGTTCAAATGGCGTTATTATTTCATTTCTGACTGGTGTTATGTTTGCTTTCGTTATAGCACACTATAACAATTGTGCTGTATTAAAACAAATTATTAAGACAAAAAGAAGCATTAAGTATTAAGACAAAGCGACAACCGCAGAAGATCATTTGTTTCCCTTTTGGGCATATATTTTGTCCCACCACTAATCCACAACTCAACAAACTGAAACGAAAGTCACACAATAATTTCAAGCACTCTTGGGGGCCCCCTGGTGGCTACGAGGCCCTAAGCACCCGCTTAGATCCCTTATGCCTTGGGCCGGCTCTGCCCCTTTAAATCCCCATCGCGTTGTACAACTCAAGTTGATCATATCCCATACTTGTTTAAATGGTGTAACCCAAAGTTATCATGTTCAAAAATAAAATAAAAACCTATTTAGTGTCACATGTAATGTTTAAAAGTAGCCTAAGACCTTTGTTTGATGAACTTAAGGTTTATCTAAGTGAATGTCCCTACCACGGCTAGCTAATTTGCTAATCATATTCATTTCTCAAATCAACACATTTTTAATATCACGGACAGTGATATTTAATATGGCTCAGAGCTGGAGCGGCTGTACATTTACAAAAGATTTTTTGACAACAAGTTTGAGTGATTTTGACGTGTTTGAAGTTTTTTTTTTCTCACCCGCTTTTTATATTAAGCAGTTCTCAAATGCTGTAGTTTTCTCTTGAGAACCAAAATATTTGAGTTACTGAGGTAAAATAACAAGTTAAATCATAACTGGAATGATATCAGAATAGATGTAGAATTCTCATCAGAGAAGCTTTAAGACCAATGGTAATACAATTAAGGACTAATTAAGTTGTTCCCCAAACTTTGATTAGCCTACCCAGCTAAAAGTTAGAGCTTCCCAGTACTTTCTCTGTTGGTTAAGGTCCATTTAAACGACAAAATTATAAATAACGATTAAGATAATAATAAACAAACGAATAAAATGTAAATATATAGCTTAAAAAGTGTACAAACCCGTAAAACATCTGAATTCAAAGTAGAACATTGAGGACATCTGCTGGTCACAAGTGGGTAAAGGCGAATAAAAATAAATAGGTTTTATTTTTTGTTGTTAACTGCCCACATAGCAACATTTTTCTGGCCCAGATCTGGCCCACAAAATCAGCTATCGCTTGGCCCACATGCCGCAGTGAATTACGGTACATGATTGGACCGAGTCTGGCTTTCATACAAGGGCCAAACATGGACCATATCTGGCCCAAGTCTCAGCAGAGGTAATAACCCATAACTGGGCATGAACTGGGCCAGATATGTTGGTGTGTCACAACTGCAGTGAATTTGATAAACCCATGAAGCATTTCACACTATCTGTGTGCTTTTTCTCAAAGCAGCCTGATTGATAGAATTTTTTCTTTACTTCCCTGCTGAAAAATCCAGCTTAAACCAGCCTAGGCTGGTTTTAGCTGGTTGACCAGGCTGGTTTTAGAGGGGTTTTGGCCACTTCCAGGCTGGTTTTCAGCCTTTTCCAGCCTGGTTTTAGCTGGTCAGACTGGGAGATGACCAGGTAAAACCAGCTTGACCAGCCTAGCCAAGCTAGAAGTCCAGCCAAAACCAGCTAAGTCCAGCTAAAACCAGGCTGGAAATGGCTGGAAATCAGCCTGGAAATGGCCAAAACCCTTCTAAAACCAGCCTGGTCAACCAGCTAAAACCAGCCAACCAGCCTGGGCTGGTTTAAGCTGGATTTTTCAGCAGGGTTTATAAGTAGTTGAATTTTATTTTAAAAGTGAGTCAAGATTTAAAGTGGCCCACATTTTTAACATCTAGGCCAAATAATACATTTGATATATCTGGCTCAAATCTTGTGTGCCGCCTTAAAGTTGGTGCCACCTCTGCCAAGCCTGGGCCATTTTTGACCCACATGCTTTCTGCCAGTGCCGGACGAAGGCCTGCTGTCCGCGCTTCATGTCAAATCTGGGCCAGAATTCTTTGCTACCTGGGTGGCCTTTAGCCAGGGTTTTTGTTTACACAAATATACCGTTCCCTAACTAGATGTTTTGGTTAGCAAGAAATAACATACAGCAGTAAAGTCCTCAAACAGAATTATTTAGTTCCCAACAATGACCAAATTAAAATTTTAAGATGTTGATCTGATTTTATAAAGTAACAACAATCATGCAGAGATATGGAAGATGACTGTAGCTGTGCTGCAAAAATGCACAGAGGCAAGGTTTTTCAACTGAACTGTTGTATTTACATATTTTTATTAACTCACAAAACTCCAAACCCCATCCTCTCAAAGGTGAAACAACCCTTCTCTTCTTAAAGGGGAAACAACTCTAATGCTTGTTTGTGTTGTGTGAACTGTGTCTAAGCATCCTACAACACCATAAACAGCCTATTACACACATGAATCAGTCTATACTTCTCATATGCAGTCATGATGACAAAGCACTAAAGACGTTCTCAAGATTTTCCTGTGGGTTTGAGTGTGTGTGTGTGTGTGTGTCTTTTAAATAGAGTCTGTGGTAAACCTATCTTGATGATGCTTTTCTCTGTATGTCCATCAAACGCGCACACTCAAATCGAAAACATGACGCAGAGCCTGTTTTAAAAATAATCACACACTCTAAAACAGGGGTTCCCAAACTTTTCAGAGCGTGATCCCCAAAATGACAATGCCAGTGACTCGCGACCAGTGGCGCAAAAAGGGGGTATGCAGTATATGCGGCGCATAGGGGCGCCACACATGGGGGGGGGCGCCATTGTGCCAAAACTTATTTTGAAATTATCCTTACTAAAAGTTTCAAATAAAAAAAATAAATAAATAAATATGTTTTGTTAAGAATGTTTTTTTTTTTTTTTTTTTTGCATTTTGTATGAGTATAATATTGTATTTTAATAAATAAAAAATTATACCATGAGTTGCATACGTTGGCACACACATTTTAATTCAAAATCAACACAATAACATGCAGTCGCAGAGCCAAGTGTAAAGTGTTCATGTAAATGTAACTTTAGATTTTTTTTTTTTTTTACAATTTTTATCAAAATAAAACTGTCAAATCATACATACAGTACAGTTGAGGTCAAAAGTTATAAGATTAATCTGAATTTTTTCTTTATTTATTATTATTTATTATTAATTATTTAATTATTTTGCCTAAATAAGAGGGATCACACAAAATGTATGTTTATGTAAGTACAGACCTATTTCACATAAACCGATATTTCAGATAAAATATTTGGATTAAAAATTCACCTATATGAATATTATATACTTGATTATAATGATTCTTAACCCTGTTAAAGTTGACACATGAACAAATTGTCCGAATATTCACATTTTTTGGAACTGAAATGTTTTTAATCCTTCTATCAAGATCCATTTTATACAATATACATGTTTTTATAAATTTATTATGTGTCATATTGATACATCAGGCCTTTTGGTAACTTTTTTTGTTCAAAACTATTTTATTTTAGTTACAAAACTTGAACCCGCATACCTCTCAGTATATGTGTAGTTGCGCCCCTGCTCGCGACCCCACAA